GGGGATGACATAGTTTCGTTGCAGAACCGATTCGTTTCGTGTTCTCAAAGTTGGTCGTCAGGTGGCTCGGAGAGTCAGGCACAGCTGGCCATCAGGGTTTGTTGGAGTATCACATGGGGCATTTATGCTGCTTCTCGAGATGCTCGTGCTCGGTGGCCTTCAGTGCAGGCCTTTCTGTGTTCCCCTCTTCGTGGACGTTGATTGTAACACGGGCAGAGTGTGGCTGCTGGATCTGGAAGTGATAGCATCTCTGTTTCTGGCTTAGCCGGTGGGCGCCGACTGTAAGGGTTAAGTTCGGGTTCCCCTCTTTGTTGTGCTTAGTTCTGGTGCTTGAAACTTGGCCAGTGAGTGGGATAAGCTGGTAAAAGGGTTGATTCTTCTTCCTCTTGCTTCTCGGCTCCGTAAAATTGCACCTGACGTATCGCCCGATCCCTCTCTTCCGCTTATCAAACGCACCGCACATTTTCACGGTGAATTTTATCGCAAAAATATTCGTCTGTTCCAGTCAGTCACTGTCCGTGTTATGCTAAATCGAATGAATGCAGCTGTGCAGATTTCTGGCTTACGAACGCCAACACGCTGTAAGTTCCTTCTCATCACACAGAACTTATTAGTCATGATATCTCGAGAAGTAGCAAATGCCAACAGCAACCAACCATTAGCAAGGCTGTTGATGACCCCTTCTTTCGAGGGTTGTAAGCTTATGGTGGGGTTGACGTAAAATTAGATGAGCACAGGAATGTTTCGATCCATCAAGCCTTATACATTTCCTCTTCAGCACCACAACTGGACCTCGTCAATACAACCGTTGTGGTACTATCATGTTTTTTGTTACTTTTATCATTTAAATTTTCACTTATTCGCATTTTTGATGTCGGATTTAACAGACGGGCTCTTTTTCAGCAGACGACACATCGGTGCAGCAGCCGCACCGTCTTGAGGTAGTTTCCAAGCAGGCCACCAAAGTTACCGCTATCTCAACGCGCCTGGAGTGGAAGATTGACCAGGTTTTTATTGTTCATTAATTTGGTTCTTTGATTTTCCCACCTTCCATCTCTGTATGTCTCTTCATTTTGCTTGCCTTTGCTTTTCGTCCTTTTAAAATTCTGTGCTAACACAAACGGGCACCCCTGGGACGATCCCAGGCTGTATGCAATCCACACTGTTCTCGCGCCGCATTGTTTGATTTGCATTTTTGTGCTGCTTACCTTAAAATATAATCAAATTTTGCAGAATGAACTTTTCACCTGTGAACTGTTTTCAGTTCGAAAAATTGATGAAGCTTTTTAAAAATGGCCATAATTTGATAAGCAAGCAGTTTGGATGCCCGCAGGCGCCTACAGTCACCTGGGAATTGCATGTGTACCCGAATGGAAAACGCGAAGAAGATGTTGGCAATGTCTCGTTCTTTTTGCGCCAAGTTGGACTACAGGTAGCATTTTGGAAGTGTTCAGCAAAATTTTTTGGTAAATTTAAAATGCTTTGGTACTGCGTTTTTTCTCTCCATCGCGACAATGTGGAGTGGCCAATATTCCGCAGAGTATTGTGTTCATCAGTGATTATAACTGAGTATGCTTTTAGCGTGGCGAAGATCCAATCATGACCGAATTTCAAATATATGCCCTGGATGCGAACATGCTGAGAGTTAGCGTTTGCAGAGACACAAAAGACTTCACTAATCAGCAAGGGCGAGGAAAATTCCAGGTATAATATGTTAGCGGTTTGCCTGAATAACTGATGCCGTAGATCTTCAGCAATAGTAATTGAAGTCAAGTCTGTCGTTTTTCCTGAGTCGTTTGTCATAATATAAAGGCGAAAGTCCAAATAATCCGCTGAAGGTATGAGTTCTCGAACTTTTTATTGGACTTTAGATTTTGTTTTTGGAATCTTTGCGTATCTTCCAGTTTTATCGCTATTTAAGTTGTTTTTTGTTAGGGGCAGTGTAGTGTCGTAAAAGCCGATAAATTTCCACATAATTGTAGGTTTTTTTTTCTGGTCTTAGCAGTCTAGTGCTAGAGGATTAAGAAAAGTTAGACTTGAAAGAGCGGACTGCCCTTAGTTTGACATGAATCTCGAGAATCACACTGTTGAGTTTGTGGAAAGCTGTTTCTCT